AAAGGTAACCATAAACAATAAATAACAAACCGAAATACAAGCTTAGTTTTTCAAATATCTTTAATATACATTTCGATTGAATTGATTGATTTTTTTTTAACACGTTAAAAGGAAAAGTAATCATACAAATACAATACTCAATACAATTTCATACAGCTTACCAATCAAACACAGGGTAAATTCAACTTTAAATGTAGCTTACAATGAGCTCTTATTATCAACTTGGCCTACTTTCATTCATTTCTCCATTGAAAAACTGGCTCAACTTACCCCAAGGCCCATGGTTCACTTTACCCCCATAGCCACCATTTTAGAAAAAATAGCCTAGCATTAAAATTCAGTCATCTTTAGCTTACTATTCACATGGTTTAATACGCTGCCAACACAACTAACATATACAATATATGTAGTTTAAACCTGGATACCNAGCTCTTATTATCAACTTGGCCTACTTTCATTCATTTCTCCATTGAAAAACTGGCTCAACTTACCCCAAGGCCCATGGTTCACTTTACCCCATAGCCACCATTTTAGAAAAAATAGCCTAGCATTAAAATTCAGTCATCTTTAGCTTAATGATTCACATGGTTTAATACGCTGTCAACACAACAACATATACAATATATGTGTTTAAACCTGGATACTTTTTTTTTTTAAATGACAGCCGATATAGCTGACATCTAGAAAATTTACTTTGACAAGCAAAAAAACGTTTTTTTGTAAAAATGTTTACTTACCAGACCACAATGACTATCTATATTTCACAGGCAATGAGAAATGGGTGGAGCTTGCATAATTTCTGGTCACTTGATTACAACTATAAAGGCGTTGCCTGGTTACAGGGGGTGGTTCAACCCTAAATGTTTTTTTTGTTGCCTTCATAATTATGTTTTTTTACATATGTATACACGCCGTTGTTGGTAAAAGTGTCCGAAACTTTGAAATAAGTCAGTCTGTGTCCCTTTGTTACTCTTGTGTTTCTTTCTAAAACCAGTAATGAGAAAAGCGACTGCAGTGTAAACAGTAAAGAGACACTGGACACATTGCATTTACATTTTAATATGTATTTAACACTTGGTCAGTAGTTAACATTATTAACCATTATTAACCAAAAACGGGTGTATTTTTAATAATAATCACTCGGACTTTTCAATTTGTATTCAATTCTGTTCTCTGTAAATAACTCAACATGTAGGTCAAAACAGTGCTAATTATGTTTAATGCTGCCAGAAGTAAAATAAAGGGGGGAGAAATGCTGAACCTTCTGTACATTACTTATTTAATATTCTTTTAAGCAATACAAGTTGTCAAAATGCAGAAGATGTACATTGTGTTTACATTGTTTTCTCTGTTACTATTACCTCCAAAGTAACACACAGACATACACACACACACATTACATGAAATAATGATAAAACAAAGATGGTTGGTATAAGACCTCAGTGTCGTCAATAATATCTACAGCCCTAATTATGAATCTATTTGACAGAGATGAAACATGCAGCTGGAGTCAAACTGGAATGAGACTGAAAGAAATATCTGGAGTCTGGACCTTTGTCTGTTACATGAAATACTTTGCAGCAATAAAGATAGTAACATGAATTAACAATACACAAACCAGGGATGCTTTAATTAGTTTGACATTTAGGGGGACGTTCTTGTTCAGTTTCACTTTGAGGCAAATCACTTTCATTATCAAATCATCTGTTGATCATTTGTTCGATTCATTGTCTATAAAAAGTGTACACATTGTTTCAAAGAGCCCAAGGTGACATTTTTCAATTCAAATAAATTGACATGTTGGGTTTAACAAATTGAGAATAACTAAAGAAAACAATAATCTGATGTGGTGAAAGTAGGGCTGGTCAATATATCAATAATATATTAACGTCTAATGAGACTAGATCGTGTCTTCAATTTGGATATCGATTACAAAAGTATGAAGTGATGTCCTTTTCTATTTGTTATTGTGTTTTCCATATTTTGTCTTTACATCTTGACACACTTATTCATCGTATTTTGTAAAGATGTTTGTGTAAGACTCAACCCTGATATCGTGTCAATATCAATAAAGGTATTTGATCAGAAATATTGTGATGATTGACTTCCTTCATATCGCCCAGGCCTGGATAAAAGTATCCAAAGTATTCATGTTTTTATGAATGAACAAATGTGACGTGAAACTGCAAATAAAATGATTTTCAGAAGAAACTATCCTGTGTCACTTAATAAGGAGTAACAGGACTGAGATGATCCACAAGAACACGGCGGGTTGAACCGCGGCGCTGCATGTTCTGTGCTCTAGACCACGTGGCTCAGTATGCTGCTATCATCCATACACTCTCATAAGTTACCACAACAAACACTAGACCCTCCCCAGTCCTCTATCTGCCGTCCAGAGCCTTGTCCCTGGTGATGACAGAGTCGTTGAACTTGATCATGAGCGTGGTGCCCTTGTGCCAGTGAGCCGTGACCTTGGCGGGGAATCCGCTGTGTGTGAGCACGGCCTCCACGATGCCGGCGGTGAAGGCGGCGCAGTTCAAGCTGCTGTTCTCTTTGGGCACGGAGATGTAGGCGTTGATGAGCGGCTCCTTCTCGATGATGTAGTACGTCTTGTCGTCGTCGTTGGCCTGCTCCAGTTTGTCCGCCTCCTTCCCAAACAGAGACTTCCAGACGTTCACCTGAAGGAAGGGAGGAGGTGAAAGTGAATCAGCTCTAAAACCATCAGAGGTATTATTTTCATGGCTTTAATTTCAAAGAATGTTAAACAACTGAACTGCTGAAACCATTTCATAACATTCCTCTGATACTTAATCATTATTATATATATTATATATCATATATCATTCCAATAACTTGTATATAGACTCGTATTGCACTATTCCACTTTTTTTGTTTGTTATTACTTTTAATATAATATACTTTAATATTGTTTTAATATTGTCTGCTTATCTGTATTATTGTGTTGCATTGTTGGAGAAGCATGTGACCTAAGATTTTCAACGACATAATTACTCTGTAGCTAGTTTGACTATAAAGAACCTTGAACATTGAACCATGTGCTTTGTGTAAATAAGACAAAACACAACATGATTCATTTTTTTATATATTTGTAGAAAATGTAAATATTCTTCATTCTTTTCCTGCTTTTGGATTTAAAGCATATGATAATGCTGTTAGGAAATTAGTCTTTACTCACACAAGTATGTCTGGACAAACCAAGTCAGTAAATAAAAAGTAAAAATTAAATAAATATTAATTAAATCAAACAAATAAATACGCATCTCATAAAGTTTTTAATCTATTTGAAATAAAAAATAAAAAATCATATCAATGATATAAATACAATTTTATTTATATATTTATTTTTAAGACCAAGAAATAATAATATTATTTTTTTAAGGGAAGAAAATGACTTCATATATCAATAATAATAATATTAAAAGGGGATTCTTTAAATAAAATAAAAACACTGACACAACAGATTCAGAGTTTGATTCATCAGCTGTATTCTACATGCACTACCGTCTTTGAGATATTTAGATATATACTTTATTGATCCCAATTTGGGAAATGATTTAGTTACAGAAGCAACAGTGTGTTCAGACATTAAAATACAAACACTTAAGGATCTTAGAGCACCGGGCAAAGCATTATATAAACACCATGTCATATTATTACCGACCTTGATGAAGAGCAGCATGTTGAGCACTTTGGTCTCCCTCTTCCCGTTCTTCTCCCTCAGCACCAGCACATCCAGCATGCTGGCTCCGACGCTCTGCCCCATGTCGGCCAGGCGGGTCTGCAGCTCCGTCACCGAGTACACACGGCTCTGGCAGTACTGCACCATCTCTGAGAACAGCAACGCGAAGGCGCTCACGCTCACCTCCGTCTTCGGACGCGTCAGAGGGCGCTCCAGGATGTTGGACTTCCCCCGAGTGAAGCGCGTGTCCATCTTCTGTTGGAGAGGAAAGAACAGGTTTTACTGACACACACATGATGTTGTTCTTGTTGTTACCATGGTTACAGAGCTGAATCCAGATCAAATGCACGCTAAAGGCTCTTTGAGCATGTTTTCTCTCACTGATCGTGCAGTTATGTTAAATGTTTGTTTCTCGTGTCTTGATATCTGTCTGTGGATGTTACACATGGAGCTGCTGCGATGCAAGGAGCATTTCAGATTTGATCTGACCATTCAAGTATTATCCTATCCTATTGTATAGTCTTTATTATTTGTCCATATTGAAAGAAAAAATAATAACATTACAGGGGATTATACAAATTCTAACACTAATAGATTAAGCGTTGGATTGATCAGCAGTGTTGTTGTTTTTTAATTTTTAATTTATCATATTCATTCATGTGTTTTTTTCAAAATACAAACATTGTTTACATACAGTATAGATAACACAAAACAGAAAAACATGCATATCATGTGCCTGAAATCCAAAGGCATCTTTTTAACATTTATAGAAAAAAGGAATAAATTCAATAAAGAAAAACTGCTCCCCAAAAAATACTAACATCTTTGCAGGCTATACCTAAATATGAGTTGTTGGAGGTTGAGTCTTAAATATAGAAAAACACCTACATTCCCTAGAAACCAAACAGGCAGAATCAGAAAGAATCATGAAGATAAAAGCAGCCAACACTTCAGGACCTGAGACTTTATTTGGCAAAGTGATGAGGAAATGATTCAAGCTACTTATCTCTTGTCAAAGTTATTATCAATTCGGTTGGTAAACTCATCAATCAGCTTACTAATTGAACAGAAAATAACATTACAATCATCACACATTGACACATATGGATGCATGTATCCAACTAGCCTGGATTTAGAGGAACATATGAGGCTATTTCCTTTTCTAGAGTTCTCCCTTCATCAAATTAACCTGTTTTCTTTTCACAAACACAGATTATATTAGCTTTTACTAAAGCACTGTCCTCCTTCTAAAAATCAGTTTGATTCAAACACAACAAACAGCTGATCACTAGCTGTTAGCATAACTAGCATAACAAGCTAACTGACACTTCCGGTTGACATATCTAAACAAGAGTCTTCCACTTCCAGCAGCAGAAACACAAACGTTTTAGAAACACAAACGTGTAGTTCATACTCTGTGAGCAATTATACCTATTTTATGTGTTGATAAACAGACCTTTGTTGGAGAAAAGACGAGCGACTGTGCAGGTTTTCTTCTTCTTCTGTTGGTTTACTGATTTATTCTTCGTTGGTTTTGATGGCGGACAAGAGACCACCGATATAGGTGCATTGCCGCCCCCTCCTGTATCGGGGTGTGTGGTTCATGGCTTTACATTATCTCAGTAACAAAACAAAAAATATACCCTATTTTCCACATAAGAACATTTTTGGGGGATGTGACTAAAAGTGAAAAGTCCGAATTTTGAGAAAAAAACATTTGATGAATATTATAAAAGTAAATGTGTTTTCCTGAAAATAATAAATATGTTTTTTTTCTGAAAGTCCGAATTCTGCGAAAGATTCTGACCTTTAAACCATAGCTTTAAACTCATAAAGAAAGAAAGAAAATACATTTTCAAAAAGTGACATGTGGCCTTAATCTTCTTCCTGTAGTGGAACATTATGGTTGCACCACGGACCCCCACTCCGACTCCCATTCATCGGCTCTACATTCCATACTATTCCCCTCCTGATTGTATCCGCTGTTCTCAATATTGATTGTAAACTCCTATCGTGTCCTGCCTTTTGAACTATACTTCCTAATGTCTCTCTCTCTTAATAATATGTAACGCAATGCATTATAATGTGTTCTATATCCTCCACAGTGTTACACTACACATAGCAAATTGCAACCAGTATTTAAATTGCACACCGGACGGAGTATCAATGTATAAACAAAAAAAACATATTTACAATATTTAAACTGTATATAGTGTATGTATATAGCAGTGGTGGAAGAAGTATTTAGATTATATATTTACTTGAGAACAATTGTAATATTTGATGGCTCAGTTCCAGCATACTGCAAACATGTGTGTTTGTCGAGTCACTTTATCTCTTGGAAATCAGCGTATCGTTCTTGTTCCTTCCTCTAAAGGTCATTATTATTACAGATTACCATAATAACAGATGTATACCTTTTACCTATTGTTCGCATCCCAGAGCTTCTGCAATGTATATTCCAGTCCACCCACCGAGTGCAGGCACTTCCTGTTCTCTTCATCACATGACTGCTGCTTTTTGCACCTCTTCACAGCAATCACTGAGGAAAAAATGTACGATCAGACATATTTCTGTAACGAATTCCCAGCAATCAACATAATTCATGGTTCTGGGGTTTCCTCAGTTTTGCATTCTGACTTTGTGTTTTCGGTAACATTGAAGAGAACATTGCCTCAGAGAGGACTGCTGATGATTTGCAAAGTATTCAAGAGTTTTCCTCTGATTGCTTTAATTACCCGGTTTGTTTCACAAGCACCGGCCACATAAACGACGAGAATCCTTTATGCAGAAGTTAGGAATTTCTCGAAAATGTCCGCCCCTGTGTGGGAAAACGGTGAGAAGCAGTGTTGGAACAATGTAGATTATTCAAGTACTGAATTTATGTACAATATTAGGGTACTTTACTTGAGTATTTTATGCTACTTTAAACTTGTTTTTCAGAACTTGAAGGTCAATATTGTTATTTTTTACTTATCTGACAACTTTACCGGGAGGCTGTTACGCAGAGGACTAGTGCGTTGGTGTTCGGATCAGGGGGTCACAGGTTCAAACCATAGGTTCAAACCCCACTGCAGTCATCATGTCGTTGTGTCCCTGAGACACTTCACCCCAAATTGCTCCTATGGGGATTGCCCACAGTATCGAGTATGTAAGTCGCTTTGGGTAAAAGCGTCTAACAAGTGACATGTGATGTTATTTACTTTTGCAGGTTCATATCTATAACATGAAATAATGGTCAACTAATGAATTTTACTGTTTTATTTTTAAATAGGAAGTTAGCTCTACTTTTAAAACCTGCAAAATTAAAACAATTAACACTATTTACAATTATTTTTTAATTTAGTGATATAATGCATTTTATTCAGAAAAAGTATACATTCATGCACATTATTTCGAAAAAACGTGCTTAACGTGTATCTAGATTTTTGCTTGAACTATTGTACTTTAACTTTTTTTATCATTTACATTTTATTGTTAATCTTCAAAGACAAACATAACAAGAAAAAAAGTTAGAAAAGTACAAGAAAAATGCTCTCAGAAAAAACAAAACAAAACACTAGAATAAAGGATGGTGGAGGAATTACAGTACTAATTTATTTTATGCATTTGCTTCTAATTTACACGTAACACATGCACATCTTCTTGCATAAGTACACATGTAGAAAAAGACAGCAGGACATTTCCTTCCGAGTATTTCTACACCGTGGTATTACTACTTTTGCACTAATCTGTGTACTTCCTTCACCTCTCTGTCAGGACTCCAGTGACAGGGCAGGTGCCAGTTTCCCACATTACTCAGTGGACGCAGGCGTATCTCAGTGTGTGTCTACACTGTTACATAACACACACTCATATAAAGGAGGGAGAGGACAGAAAGGTAGCAGACATCTGGAGCTGAAGGTATTCAAGATGGATAAAGGCAGCTGGAAACACTCCCTGCTGCTGGCTGTGGTGTTAGCCAACGCGTATGCAGAAGGTAAGGATATTTGTTTTTGTTTAAACAAGTTTTATCGGGATGTAATGGCAATTTATGTACTAAATCAGGGGTGTCAAACTCAATTTCATCACGGGCCACATCAGCATTATGGTTTCACTCAAAGGGCCGGTTGTAACTTTAAGACTATATAAAAATACATATATAAATATTTAATATATATAAAATAATGTATTATATTACATTATTGCCTCTGCATTGGATTATTATGGGATAGGGTAATAACTTCATAATTAATTACGTCTGAAAGTCTAGGGCAAATAATTGCAAGTCTCTTCAGTGTGCATGTCACAAAATGATTTAAAAAGAAAAGCCAAATTCTGGAGAAAAAAAGAAGTGACATTTTGAAAAAAAAGTAAAATTATAAGAAAAAAGGCATATTTGAGATGCATTGTGGGACATGTAGTTTATGNATAACACACACTCATATAAAGGAGGGAGAGGACAGAAAGGTAGCAGACATCTGGAGCTGAAGGTATTCAAGATGGATAAAGGCAGCTGGAAACACTCCCTGCTGCTGGCTGTGGTGTTAGCCAACGCGTATGCAGAAGGTAAGGATATTTGTTTTTGTTTAAACAAGTTTTATCGGGATGTAATGGCAATTTATGTAATAGATTGTTTGGATTATAAGCAGATCTTTAAGTCATTTTCAAAAAAATAAGTACATAATACTCTGTGTGACCAGGAAATGCAAAGCAGGGAATTCCCTTACCTCTTGAAGGAGTTTTGTTTGGTAATAAACAGTTGTATTCAGGTTGAAAAAAATCACATAGTCTTAGAAAATGATACAACACCTGTCTGAAAATCAGGCAAGCTATCTAAATTACATTACTCACACAGGATGTTATGATTTAGTGAGAAGACTTATTCAAAGAAAACAACACAATGTTTTTTATATTGGAAGGGTAGGGAATGGCTGTTTTTCTTTGCCGTTTTGTGATCTGTTATTTGTAGGTTTTTTAAGAAGCTACTCAAAATATTTGGTGTGACCAACTGAACGAACTTTGACTCGTTTTTTAGCACGGAAAAATATAAAATTGCCAGAAAAAAACAAAGAAAGCAGAATCCTCTAGGAAATCAGATTCTTTTGCTACTCATTCAAACTACAGATTTCTCTAGGTTTTGAAATGTTTGTCCGCAGTTTGCATCGTGTATCCTCAAAACCCAACAAAACATCCAACACACGTTTGAGGTTTTTAGAAACTTGAATGTAGTCTAAATATCTAAAGGTAGTTTCTTTGCATCAGTAATGGTTCATTGTTTGATGTTTTATGGACACTCTGCAGTCTTTATGAAGTGTCAATGAGGGCTCAGTTGCTTAGTTTCATTATTAACACTACGGTTGTACCTAAGGTGTGTTTGTGTAGTCAGGGGATAAGAACAAAGGTTTAAGGCTGGTTAGATTTTATTATTCCATTACTCCATTATGAAGCTTTTATCTCAAGCAACTTCTATACCGTGGAAAAGCCAAGCAGAGCAACTAAATAATAAGAACACTTGACTGCATGGGCTGGGGATAGATTAGTTAATGGACCACATTTAAATCTTTTCAGTCTTGACGAATTCCTAGAAGGGCTTTTACACATTCATTCACACATTCATATTGGGCAGGGGCTACCAGTATAGCATCAAAACACATTCAGACACCATTGGACACTGGGAGCAACTTGGGGTTAAGTATCTTGGGTTAGGGTTAGGGTACATGTCGACTATAGGCTCTGATCGGACCCTCAACCTGATCGAATCCCAATTGTTAGACCACAAACTGCCTCACAGCCACCTTTTTGCCCCTTAATCAACCCTGAGCCCCAACTGCCTCAGAAAGATGTGCGATTTTAACTCAATATCAGAGGCATGTATGTGTTCCTGCTATGGACAATCTTGCACTAATGTACATTTCCCAAAGATTATGAAGTGACTGTTATTTTGTATATATTGATTGTTGTGCTTTTATTTATGTCTTAATGTGTGCATATGTATAAATGTGTCTGTTGATTGTGTATATATAGGTATGTACATATTTGTATACATATTTTTATATATATTTGTATTTTTTGTATCCGGGATTGTGGGAAATGCTATTTGGATCTCTCTGTCTGTACAGTACACACAAACTGAAAGATTGACAATAAAGTTGACTTTTGACTTCCTGTCCTCATCCTTAGCTTCATTTTCCTGGCACATGGATGACTTCATCCAGGCGGTGAAGCAGGTGGAGAACGGGGTCCCGGGGTCGGGTCCTGTGGCCGTGTTGAAGCGCCTCCGCCATGCAGCCGGACTCAACGACGCCCTCATCCAATACTTCCTTCGTGCTGCAGACTCCGGTGGTGCTGAAATGGACGTGAGCCTCTTGTCTTTCATTAGCAAGGCTGTGCACCACAGGGTGACGGAGGAGAATCAAGAGGAAGGCGTGGTTCTGACGCCCGATGGCACCACCGTGGCATTAACACCGCTCCTCCTGGGCCTCGAGGCAGGCTTCCTGTCCAAGAATAAGGACCGTGTTCGCGGACTGCTCAAACTCACCTTCACCAAAGACCTGGAGAGCCATCCTTTGAGCCACCATCTTGGACCGGACGGATGCTGGGACAACGTCTCCTTGCCTCAGGTCTTCACCCTCCTGGACCAACCTGGAGTCCTCACCACCGCTCAGATCAACGGAGGCATGGACGGCTTCGTTCTGGGGACGGAGGTTTGATGTTTGTTTATGTATTAACACATTTTGTTAGGATCAAATTGCAATACAATAATTCCATACACCAGAACACGTTTCTCAGACACTGTTGCCGCATTAAGTTTAAAGGTCTCCTATCATGCAAAATGCACTTTTTGATGTCTTTTATGCATAAACATGTGTCCCCGGTGTGTCAGGGAACTCACAAAGTGTCAGAAAACAAAATCCTCTCTCCTTTCCTCCGTACCCAAATCTCTAAAAACTGAGTTACAACAGAGCTGATCCAGATTTGCGTCTGATATGATGTAATATCGAACATTTGGGCTGTATCAGAAACAATGCACGATGATTTTTGGACGTAATATGGTCTTTGTTTACATTAGCAAGCATCGCTAACACTCAGAGCTAACCTGTACTGGAGAGAGCATGTGTAAAAAAGCAGGAAATAACAAAAGGAACTCACCTAGTGATAAACCTGAGAGAGAAAAAGAGTTTGAGCTCCATACTGTTTCAGAAATAATCCTTGATGTGGTTTTGAACATGATTGCGTTTTATCACGGCAGCATTTAGCTGAGTGTCTGCCGGTAGAATTCTGAGCAAGCCTAACTTTTTTTCAAGCTAAGGACCCAGAATCCGCGTTTCTCTAACAGGGCTGAAATAGAGGGATATGAGGGATTTCTAAAATGCATGATGTGTTTGGTATTTTGAGCAAAACACATTACATGTTTTTTAATATATTTGTACATATCTGAGACCAATAATATATGCCTAAAAATAGCGTGATATAAGAGTTCTTTAAGGTTTTTATACATTTGAATGGATGTTATACTTTTCTAATCTAAAAGAAAGTTCAATCTTTTCTGTTGCTGCTCAAGATTGCGTTCCCTTCAACATCCGGACGACCTCTGACGCTCAGTGGCATTCTGACGGAGTATTACTGCCACAACCTGGAGGTCGGAGGGATGGACGTCGCCCCCCGACTCATTAGCCGACGACGCAGGGAAAATTTCAGAAAGCTGGGGGTCCCTTCGATAACGGCCCGAGAGGTGGTGAAATCTGTGGAGAAGCAGCGGAGAGTGATGGGCCTCAAAAAGATGGATTTGAAGAAAAAGAAGCAGCTGATGACTCTGGTGAAGGAGGGAGTGAAGGAGTTCGTCCAGGAGTACTTGGGTGAGTGTGGGATGAAAAATAACTTGTTTGAGGTCTTGAGAAGTGAGAATAATAAAAGCGGATTGTTATATGATTACTTAAAGGTCTCCTATCATGCAAAATGCACTTTTTGGTGTCTTTTATACATAAATATGTGATACAACCCTCTCTCTTTTCCTCCGTACCCACATCTCAGAAAACGGGGGTACAACGAAAATGCATGATCTGTTTGTTATTTTGAGCAAAACACATCATACACATGTTTTTTTTATACATTTGTATATATCTGAGACCCATAATATATGCCTAAATGGCATGATAGGAGACCTTCAAAGCCTGGGAAGGCAGTTTATTTTCGTTGATAAACGGCCTTAAAGAGGGTTTACAGCCCCGGAAATTGAAGCAAATTTGTTTTCATCATGTTAATCACATAGCTATCATATGCCTCAAACAGTCCTGATGCTCTTCTAGGTAATCACACATCCTGTCATGTTCACAGCTACAGTTGGGATACCTTTGTTATCATGTGACTCTGATATTGGAAGAGGACATTCAGTATTTCCTCAACCAGCTGTACTTCATGTGTTTCAGAGTGCCCGCCCATCATCCCTCGCTGCATGTGGGGTGCAAAGCCTTACAAAGGGACTCCCACCAACCTCACCCTGCCTCTGCCCTTCCTCTACATCCACCACACCGCCACTCCCAGTGACCCCTGCCTCACCTTGCAGCAGTGCTCAGCGGACATGAGGTCCATGCAGCGCTTCCACCAGGACGACCGGGGCTGGGCAGACATCGGATACAGGTACAGGGAGGGAGGGGTCTCAGGTTAAATGTTAAATGAGTTTTAGGAAGTACCTTTACTCAAGTATTGTTGTTCAGTTTAATTTGGAGGTGCTTTACATGTATATGTTGAAACACCTATCAACTCAAACAAATGATAAATAGGTACTTTTGGGTTATCTGTCGCCACTTTTTTTTCTTTTTTTCAGACTCTCTAAATACGAGTTAGGGTTAGGGAATTGGGAACAAATAGTACATTTTTGTGAAAATGGCGACATGATAACACACATCTGTATTTGTGGAAAAAGTTTGACAATTAAAAGTGGCGACAGATAACCCACAAGTACCGATAAATATGTCAATTAACATTTAAATGCAGTATTTAAGTCATGTCTGCTCTGATTGGTTAGCTGGCCGCCTCTGTTGTGATTGATCAACTGCTTAGAGATGTCCCGCCCCTTAGCCTATCACGTACAATGTGTTGGAACGCTAGCCAATAGAAGCACGATTGTTACATAGTGATGTCACTGTGTTCCCGAAGTAAACAAAGGAGTCAAATGGAGACGTTTCAGACCCCATTTACACGGGAACACAAACGCAAACGAACCGAATTCGATATCAAAAAAGTCTTCCGTTCACACGCATCCGGCACAAAATACACCAAAAGCAGCGAAGAAGACCTCCCGAGGATGGTTGCCATGGTTTCCCTTCTGTTTATTCTCCGCGGTGGATTTAGCAACATGTAGTTCATGTAGTTCTCCATGTCCACTTGTTGCTGATGGTTGTGGTAGAGGAGCTGTAGATGTTGCACTAACATCTGTAGCACTAGCAGTACCTACTGACAGTAGCTACTGACCATGCTACAGTAGTGAGCAGCAGAGGTGGGGAGAGGTGGGGCTATGGCTTCATCGTTATCAGGAAATGATCGTATAGGACGTACACACGGAGCCGTTTGCCCCCCCCCAGAGCATTTCGTCCGCAGATCAATCCACCTTGGGACCCGTTACCGTTTGCGGGGTCCGTTTCCGCAGTTCCGTTACGGCCTCGTGTGAACGAACGGGCTATACGAAAGAGAAAAGTAGCGGATACAACCCGTTTCGTTCTCGTGTAAACAGCACATCCGGCAGGGGAGAGGTTGTGTGGGAGAGAAACATTAGGATTTTTTCCTTTGCAGACCATTTACATGCACTAAAACCTATACAACACTACCAGAAAGAGAAAACCCCACAAAGCACCATAGGGCCTCTTTAAGGGAACCACAGAAGAGGTTCACCTCCAATGTTTTGATTTTAGACGCAGACAAATGTCAACATGTCGAAGATGTAGAAAGAAATCCTTTACTAATAACAGGGTATTTTTTAAGTTCTACTTATAACTATCCGCAATAAACCGTATTAATGTTGTCTGACTTTACATTATTTAATTTCATACACTGTTCTTTACATATCCCATATTCTATTGACATATACAGTATAGACTTTTTGCACTACTTTTCATTTTGTAACAAAATGAAAAGTAGTGCAAAAAGTCTATACTGTATATGTCAATAGAATATGGGATATGTAAAGAACAGTGTATGAAATTAAATAATGTAAAGTCAGANATCCCAAGAATATTGCTGAACTGAAACAGTTTTGTAAAGAGGAATGGTCCAAAACTCCTCCTGACCGTTGTGCAGGTCTGATATGCAACTATAGGAAACGTTTGGTTGAGGTTATTGCTGCCAAAGGAGGGTCAACCAGTTATTCAATCCAAGGGTTCACATACTTTTTCCACCCTGCACTGTGAATGTTTACATGGTGTGTTCAATAAAAACATAAAAACATATAATTGTTTGTGTGGTGTTAGCTTAAGCAGACTGTGTTTGTCTATTGTTGTGACTTAGATGAAGATCAGAACACATTTTATGACCAATTTATGCAGAAATCCAGGTAGTTCCAAAGGGTTCACATACTTTTTCGCAACTGTATATGCAAAGACAACAGACTCCATTGAAAAACCAGTAATTTACCCTTGCACAACACAGGAGTTCTTTGTGTGTTCTTGTGTGACTTTGCTGAATCCATTACTAACCCTTTAACAGATAAAAAAAATAATTAATTGAATGAGGTGGCCCAGCAACTCCTGTGTTACGCAAAGTAGTGTTTTTTTCGGTTTTGTATACCTAACAGAATAGTCATTAATTAGCTTAGCGTGGAAGTGGTACAGTGCCAAGACTCTTCCTGGTTTTAGGACTGCACTCATTACACTGACTATAAATAAGTATCTCATACAACCCCACAAAGCATGAACTATCACTTTAAATATTTCCCCCAACAATGTCAACACTGACAGTATGGAGAAGGCCTTGGAGCAGTGTGTAGGGCTTGAAGTTGGGAAATCAAAACGCTATATTTTAAATGTCTGGATACAAGGATTTTTGACTTTAGCAGTACAAATAGTAGTAGACATTTTGGAAGCAACACTTCATTCATTCTTGCTTAGTAGAGGGTAAAAGGGGTTTAGCTTAGCTTCTAGTAAACACTGAGACGCACCACGACCTCAAGTGACCTCAAGTGTTGCACGCTGAATGTAAACAATATCCTACTTTGAAATTGTGTTAGCTGTAACACTTTGTGTGTCATGCCCCTTCATAGTGTCAGGCAGTCTACAGATTTGTTTCTTTCATGGTCAATTGTATTTTAGATCCGTGTTATCTAGCACCAGACACTTTTTACGCTGCTATGGACAATCTTGCACTAATGCACATTTCTCAAACTTATTGAAGTGACTGTTATTTTGTATATATTGATTGTTGTGCTTTTATGTATGTCTTAATGTGTGGACATGTATAAAGGTGTCTGTTGATTGTGTATATATAGGATATACATATTTTTATACATATTTTTATATATATTTGTATTTTTTTTTATTCAGGATTATGGGAAACGGCATTTCGATCTCTCTGTCTGTACACACAAACTGTAAGATTATCAATAAAGTTGACTTTGACTTTTGATTTTCTATTTCTAAATGTTCATATTTATTTGATACTCTGATTTTCAAATGATGTGTAATGCCTTGTTTTAAAATGCTGCCGAGTTGGGATCAATAAAGTATATCTTATCTTCTCAAATAAAGTAGATCCTATCTTCTCAAACGACTCGCTGCCCTTCCTCCTCCTCACCTGAGTCCAGCGGAAGGAGATCCCGGGCTGTGAGCAGCCAGACCGTGAGGGTTAGAGAAGTGCTGGAGCTCCTCCTCTGACACACACCACAGACACACCACAGAACATCACTCACAGATCAACAGGAGAACTGAGAGACTGCTGACTACATGCAGACTGAATCACATTCAAAAACAATAAGAGACAACAGTAACAGGTACACCAGGTACACCAGGCGTGGGAGAAGAACCCACATATTGTACTTATAGTAAAAGGAGCAATATTATGGTGTAAATATACTCTGTTGCAAGTAAAAGCCCTGAATACTAAATACAAAAATAGGATATTTGCTCCAAAATGAAATTGAGTAAACCTGCAATGTGCAATACAAACACTTGTTTGCAATTGTACGGTGCTCACTTTTATGTAAAAAATAAATATTTAATAAGGTCGCAATACTTAATGATATGCTATTTATGTCACTTAGTTTTACTTAAATTGCTGCTACTAATTTTTCAGCCATGGTTGTTTGACTTTATTTTAATTGTATTACTAATGTGTGCTTTCCTTTTTTTACCTGCTTATGCCACTTTTGCTGTAACATTGTAAATGTCCCCGCTTTGCGACTAATAAAGGAATTCTGATTCTGAAAATGTAATTAAGTAAAAATATAAAGTAGCATAAAGACTAAATACTCAAGTACCTCAAATGTGTATATAAGTACAGAACATGAGTAAATGTGCTTAGTTACATTACACTAAGGTACATTGTATATTAACTAGATTCAGTACTAAAGGCTTTTAATAGATATAGATCAATGTGTATATATAGACTATTCTGCACTATTTCTATTATATTATATTTACTTGCACTTTTATCTGTTTTATTGTGTTGCTCTGTTGGAGGAGCCCGTGCCCTCAGATGTTCATTGTCATAACTACACTGTACTGTAGCTATGCACACATGACAATAAAAGCCTTGAAACTTGATGTGTTACCATCGAGGGTTTCTCTCTCAGAGTCGGAGTCCCAGCTGAGGGAGGAGGGGAAGGCTGAGGGTCTCCTCTGGGAGATCCTCCCCGCCTCCGGGCCCTCATCTCCAGCCTGGGCCCTCGAGCATTTGGCCGACATCAGGTCGTCTCTCACATGTGGAGAACATGAGGACTAGATATAAAAACATACACGTGGTATTGTCAGATATATAAAGGAGAGGTTTCATTGGCAAGTGAATCATATCTATAAATGTCACGTCAATGCAATCTCCAGAAGTAAAAAGCTAATGTTGGGCTATAAAGGAACTACAGCACGGTCACATGACTTCACGTCACCACCGCTAAGCTAATGGAGGCTAATGTTTGGTGTGATGACGTTTAGTTATCTCATTTAGACACTTAGAAGCTTCAGAAATTCACCAGTACATAAATATCGGTATTTACTGACATAGTTTAATGTCATGGCCCAAAACTCCAGTGTTTCCCATACATTGATTTATTTTTGGCGGGCCGCAAATATTGCGGTGCGGTGCCCCCACAAATAGAATCAAATTCTGTGGGAAACACTGAACTCTTCATCTTTTGTTAACCACATACATACCAGGCTTCTAACCAAAAATACATCCGGCAAAACAATGACTTTGAGGTTAGGGAACCAGGAAGTGCTAAAATGCTAACTACTTTCAGGGTTTAAGAATTATTCCTGCACCACTCTTTAATACTTGTCGAACAGCAAGAGGAGTTGAGTGGTTGGATGCAGATTTGTATATTTTGTATCTGTATGTGTGTGCCATGTTGTAAAGATGTATAGTTGAGCAAGTGGAAAAAAGTTGATCACAACGATGTTAATGACAGCCATGATGGTGAGTTATATGTTTGTATACCTGTAAGGTGCAGTTGAGGGAGTTGGGGGG